GGTGGTCATTTGCCTTGTCGGATGTCTCAGAGGCCTTGGTGCTTTCACGCGAGCACGAAGATATATAGAGTTCGGCCTCCAAAAGGGGTTCGACCGGCGGCCTCCATCAACGCAGCCGCACCGGCACCGCGGCGAGCCCGGAGCGAGGCGTAAGGCGTAAAGCAAAGCTGTCATCCAGGAGCACAACATCTTGAAAGATGTTGAAAGAGCAAAACCAGCTTTCTGTTGAACACGCTGGGGCTAGGCGCAAGGCTACGTACCTACGTCCCGCCTGGTACAGATCTTTTTCTGGGTGTGTGCAAGAAGGTATGGTTGAGGGCATTCGAGGTAGCATGCACACAGCTACACTTGCCTTACTACTGTAGGCCTTCAATGATGTGAGGGCCTATCTTGAAACCTCTGGCGCATGCAACGCACGAGCTGGAGGATAACAGAGGTTCATTGCCGTGATGGTTTTGTAGAATTCCTGGATGTTCATTTCAGTAAGGGTCTACGGTTCTTGCGTTTGGTGGTCATCGTCTGCTGGCCTGACACAGTTTCTTCCGGCACAATGTGGGCTTTGGTGTGGAGGGCATCACCTGAACCTGTAAATTGCATGATATTACCGTGGCCGTGTGGCCAGACTGAATGGTGGCAAGTTTGGGGAAAATCAGGCAGCAGGGGCAGCGTGGATGGCACGCACATCACAGCTGCGTGCCTGGAAGAAAGAGCAAAGCCCTGGGGCCGCTGGGGCTCAAGCCTTAGCGCTTCAGCTAAACTAAGCGGCTACAGATGGAACACAGCGACACCTCCTGACCCCAGTCCTTCAATCACACCACACAAATCACGCTACACAACCCACTTGGTGGTTGTTTCAGAATGTTTCGGATATGTTTGTGACTGTTTATGTGAATCTTTACACTCCCATGAATCCGGAGACCAAACAGTTGGTGTTTATATACTCCACTTCCACTATATATCCCTGGATTATGTCATGTTAGTGCAGCGTACTTGGGATGATTGAACGTATTGGACATGTTTAAACCCACAGACTTATTCTTTGCTCGTGACTTGCAACAGCCCATGCAACAGCCCATCATCGAACACACCCGTTCGCGGCGACCACGTTGCGACGTGAACGTCGAACGCCTCAGGACGATCACCTTCCACAACCAACGGGACTTCGTGTTCTTCAGACACTACAGGCAGAACTGGCCCGGGGTGGAGGAAGGTGTAAGAAGACATATAAAGAAAAACATGGAGCTTGCAGGTCACTGGTTTGGTTTCAAAAGGATTTGTAGTCTGTATATAATTGGATGTACCACCCTCAGCTTTGAATGGGCACATTGGGCCATGGGCCCATTCAAGGAATCAGATGGGCAACACATGCTTTGGCCGTTTTTGGTCCAAACTATGCCCCTCTTGGTGCCAGGAATGAAACATATAATTAGGAGGGGCCCTCCATGGGAACTGCCAACAGACATTCGGAGACGGGCCGGCAAGGGCCCACAAAGGGGGCTACTGAAGATGTGCCTGGTTTGATTGCAGAGGGGTTTGCCTGGTGGTTTTTACCGAACTTCCAAGTGCAGTACACCGATATCTTCCCCAACTCCAAAGAAGCGCCTTAACCTTGCGGGGCGCACCTGAGTGCTTCCTCCCTTCCTTGGAAGCTTGGGGGATCCAACGACTTGCGTGGACGCTTGGAGGTATAACTTCAAGGACAACGGCGAGAGGTGTGCTCTACAGGAAATTGGCCCACGCTTCACCCTGAAGTGCAGGCGGACGGACCGTGTTTTTCTTTCTGGCGCAGTGGACGATGCGGGCGGACGGTGACGATCCAACATGTGCAGTGTGGTTCACTACTGACATAACATGACCCCCCAAAAAGAGAGCAGTTGGGTGTCAAAAAGAGGTCTCCTGGACTATCGCTGCACACAGGTTAGAAGCTTGATTTCGTTCCAATGTCCGGTTGTTGGAGTCCATGGGGACTTGGGATGGATCAACTCAGGGAGCAGTTGCAGGCATGGAGGCAAGCCTCCCCTTTCAACCAACCACAATTCTTTCCCCGGCTCTCGCCAAAAGCAAAGTTGTGCTCACGCGCGACTATAGGCGTGTTTCCCATGTCCGCAGCCATGTGATGAAGGGGAACCCCAGGGAACCGGAAGATAGACTAAGACTCACAGTAAGACTTAAATCTGCAGGTCTTCCTGAAGACTGAACGCACGTAATTATACGTCTTTGATATTCTTTGATCCAGGGCCAGGCTGTTCTTTAGCACTCCGTGGCATCCTCCGTGTGAAGCAACTTGTGAAGAACCAACCCCTGACTGGATGACCAGTCATGTCCATCACCAGAACCAACCTGACTTTGGGTCACTGCATGCCCCACAAAAAAAGAGCATCAGAAGCTGCCACCCGTTCTTTTCACGCGGAATCGGCCGAAAACGCCTCCACCTGTGAAACCCCTTCAATCGGCCGAACACCTCCAATCCGCCTTTGCTTCGGCCGACCTGCGACCGTCTCGACGGTGCCGGCGAGGTATTTGCAGCATGGCACCTTCGACGCGCGCAGCGGCGAATACGAATACATCTGGCGACCAGATGCGCAGGCGGCTTTGAGCGTTAAGCGGCCGCCGGCGAACGCGTTCGTGTTTGTTTCCGCGCGGAAGGCCTTCGGTGGTGTGAGGTATCAATTTAGATCAATTTAGCCGGCCACGGAGGGTTTGCCATTGTTTGCTAGTATTAATTTGGATGGGAAATTGGATGGGAACAGTTTGATACATTTGCTGTCATTTACTTTAACAAAAAATAGCACCCAACGTTCGTACGCATGTTTCCTCCTGAAACAAACCACCCCAACTGATAGGCCCAATCTTCATGTGTCCGTTGTGTTTGGTGTTTGGGTTGTTCAATCTTTGCTTCGAGTCGGGTCCTGCTTGTTCAAGGATGAGCTCAGAGCTCCGCAAGGAGGTTGTCAAGTGATCATGGACCGCGGTAGTGGCCATCCGGTGTTTTACCCAAAACGACGTGTTTTGGACACACAGAGAGTACTCACCCCCGCTGTTTGAACCCTCACATGCACTGCAAAATCATGTTCTGGATGCACAGCTTCCAACTCATGGGAGGGAGCCAAAAAAATCAGGAGGTGGGGCATGGCTTGCCATTTTTAGAACCTTTTTTTGGTCAACCTCAGATGCCACGAATGACCGTAAGCCACCAGAATACCTAGAACACCTCCTCCCGGCGCGAACCATTCGAAGAGCCAGGTGAGCCGGAAGAAGTTCTTCGCCGCTTGGAGCGACCAAAGGATCCAAGTTCTTTCGGTTGGTTTGTTATTCCAGCTTCAAAAACAAAAGGAAGTGTTCCTGCTGGCAGTCCACAACCTGATTCTTGGACTAAAAGGAGTGCTGATGGTGCTACTTTAGTTCTTTGAATTTATTTGCATGTTTGTTTACCCTTTCTGTTTGTGGAAAAAGAAACTCCGAAACATAGAACACACAGACTATTTCCAGGGCACCCAGCAATTTACAGATGTTCCTGAAAGAATCGTGAAAGCGGAACATGGCCCCTTGGATGACCATGTTATATATATAGAATATTCTACAACTCTAATTGCACACAATGTTGTTTCACTTCCATGCCTATTTCAGTGAGAGTATAATAAGCTATATAGCACCTAAGTCCTTCCTGGTTCATCGTCCACGATTGAACAAAAAATCATAAAAACTCTTGGAGCTGAGCTTAGACATATATATGTATATATATTATATATATAGAGAGAGAGAGTCTCAATCTCCGCTATATAGTGTTTGTTGTTGTCTCTTGAGCCCTTGCGCCCGGCACTCTGGGCTGCAAAAAGAAAAGTGAAAACATGTGGATTGCTGAAATGGACCTATTCTCGGACTTGGCAAAACGTGGCGAAGCAATCGCAAAAGGCTTTGTCACAAATTTGTTCCGCGGAGGCCCAAGAAAGAATCACCGGCCGTATAAGGCTCAAGGCTCAGGGATTCACCAGAGATTTCAATCCAGGCCGTTTGGAACCCACCTCCCCAACGCCTTTCCCTTTCAACAAGCACACGCCTGTGTTTTCCTCTCCGAGCCATTTCGCCACGAAGTCTGCCGAGGTCTAGAGCACCTCATGCGGCGCGTCTGTGTGGGTGTCCCTGCCGTGGTTCCGCCCCACTGAGTTTGGATGGATGGTGAAGGTATTGTCTCAGGGCTTGATCGTGTCCTCCAGAAAGAAAGAAACAAGTACGGGTTTGTGCGGACGATTGAGGCATGTTCATGTGAAAGTGTCTATATATAAAATAATTGATTATATGTTATGTGCTCAGCTTATTCCGAACTCGCTGCGACATCCTTTGAACTTATGGGGTCTAAAGTTTCAGACTTCTTCAAGAGTCCAAGAGCGCTTGGGTCCTCAGTGGCCAACCCCAAGTTGGCGAAGTGAGAGCTACGGGCCTACCTGGAGGAAATGCCAAAATGACCGGGAGAGAGACCTACGGAAACCATGCAAAGTGGCTATAGGTGAGGGTGCAGGAGATGGTTTCATCGTCTTCAGGACTCATTCTTGTTAGGGGTTGTCCGGATGTGCCTTGGTCACTTCCTCGACCCCTTGACCCAGCCTGTTTGCATGCAGCTGTAACAGTGAGACCGATGTGAGAATGGGATGTAACACATCCTGGCATTAAATCCCCATGGCCAGGGGGCAAGAGGTTTTTCCTCCCAGCTCCTGGACACCCAGCCAGATGGGTATCCCCCTCATGTGACGGGCTATCCCGGCCTCCAAGGCCGCGACCGGCCTCCACAGAAGGGGTCCAGGGAGGTCATCACGAGTTTCGGGCAGCTGATGTTTCGTCTTCCAAAGCCTGGAAAGGCCAAGACCCCTATATTATATATAATATATATATATATTAATAACTATATATGTGTAATATATATATATATATACTGTGCATCATTTGTTAGGGGGGTGTTTTCAGACTTCAGGTGACAAACAACCAAAAAGAGGACACCCAGAAGATACAGTCGTCCGATTCTTCATGCTGTTTCACGTGTTCTTTTGCATATGTTAGTTGGTGCTGAGCTGTATTCTGGATGAGTCATGACATGTCTCCTTGTGTTGGGTGGATTTGGTTGGTGCTTTGGTCCGTACACCATTCTGCATCTTGCAGTCCCTTTTGGGCCCAGTCAGCACCGGCGCCGGAATCGCGTACGACCAGGCGTATGATTCGGTGGGGGGATGTAAAGGGGCCCGTGCACGGGCTGGGGAGGTGGACGATGTCTTCAACGTCTCTCCCTCAAAAACACAGAATTCTTGAGAATGGGACATCTAGCATATCTTGCTATATCTAGCTCTACCTCGGGCTATGTCCATGTGGATTTTCGCCCATATGGCGGAGTTTTCGAGTGAAGCTGGGTTTCCCCATGGTGATGCCTGTCCGGGTTTTGGAGCTTCGAAGGGTCTTTCATGAACAAGAAGCCATTCACTTACAGTGCTTTCAGAGTAGATGGCGCAATCCCTAAGTTGGGTGGTGACATTGTGGACCCCCCATGTGTACAAGAGACATCTTTGGGTTTGTGCCATCTATTCTGAAACCACTGTAGGTGTTCATGATTCTCCCTGTTGCCCAAACAACAAAAAAGACAATGGCTCACGTGAAGAATTCATTCCAGAATGCAACGCATGTTCACGGATTTCCTGAAGGAGCGGAGATGATGAGTGATTAGTGGCGCAGCTCAGTTCTTTTCTTTGTTCTGGATGCGTCGCCTTTCGCAGGCCACCCACGAAGTGCTTGGTTTCGTGCTTCAGTCTTCCAACTTCTCCCAGGAAGTCCTTCATGCTGCCCAAACCGCCTCGCGGGCAGCGATGCAGAACGTGGACCAGGTGAGCCACTGCTCTGACTTTTGGAAGAAAACATCAAATGAGCCATGGTCAAAACTAGGGATTATCAACCATTAGTAGGGGATGGTCATCCATTACTTTTGGAAGAAAAACCCTCCAATTCCTTCTGCCAGCAGTTCCATGGCCGACCCCTCAAAAACATGAGTGGATGTCGGATGTGCGCCAAGACATCCACCGGATCGAACGCGTTCGGTTTCCAGGCGCACATCCACTCATGGAACTGCTGGTGATTTGTGAACTTTCAGCTTTGAGGCTGTTCTTCAGGAGTCAGCATCGGTCCTGTTGCTGTTCTTGGTCCTCAGATGTCCCAACTCGGTTGCGCCAACGGCCTGTGCGCGCCTGTGCGGGCGAGTGGCAGGCACGGCTGGAGCAATGGAGACGGGATCCAAAGGCTGCGGACGTCGGCAGAAGGACGTCGGCAGGACTCCGAGTGGTCGCCACCATCCAAAACTGGATGGCAAGCCGGACAAGCAGGGGTGGTTTTCGGTACTGACTAAGCTGGGAACCATCCAATGGTCACCAACTGCTAGCTTACTCAGACAGAGTTCCATGTGGGAGTGCTTGTTGCAGGCTGCCCCTGTCACATCCACTCACGTAAGGGAAGTAAATAGAATTTAAGGGCCTTACAGCATAGCAGGGGTTTCAGTGGCAGGCGGCAGGAGCAAACAGGTGAGACTTGTGGTTGTTGTGGTGGTTGTTGTGGTTGTTGTCGTCGTTTTGTTGTAATCTTTGTTGTCTTGTTCTCCCAGTGGTAGTCGTTGTTACCACCGAGAAAATGCAAGTAATGCGATGAAACTTGGGCAGCATAGCTCACACCGCGGGGCCGTTTGCGGCAGGGCGCGACCGTCCTTACCCTAGCGGGTAGCTGCCTTCAGGGGCGAAGTCCTGCAGCCTGATAAAAGCATAATTCAGTTTGCAAGCCCACGGCCAGACAGAGGCATGGCAGGCCATGCATTTCTGCCGCAAGTGCGGGCAAGACAGAGATGTTGTAGCCACGAGACGGTCGTGCCACGCGGCAGCAGTTTTGAAGCATAGATGATGTGACGACCCAGGTAATTAAGGTGACCGCGTTCGGAATCGTTTTTATCCACAGAGTTTGGCTCAACAGCGTGTTGATGCTCTGCCGTGACTGTGGTCTCCTTACGTCCGGGGAGACAGAAGCAGTCTGCACCTTCTGCCGGTCGCGCACTCGCTTTTGGACCGTGTGTGACGACCTTCCTGTGGGACTTCGCGCGTGGGCAGTGAGCAGCCTCCGCATCTGGACTTCGATCTTGCAAGAGGAGGCCGAGAAGTTCCAGGAGCACAAAAGGCTGCAGGAGGAAGCAGGAAAGACAGCGGCTTCGAAAGCCAAAAGCCCTGCTACCAATCCGTCTCCTGGTCCGGGGAGAGCAGAAGCTGAGGAGGGCACATCCGAGCCTGACAAGGCCTGGGTGGAAACAAAGCGTGAGGAAGAGAAGGCAAGTAGCCCCATCAAGAAGGAGAGTAGTCCCACAGAGGCCGAGGAAGAAGGCAAGCACACGAGTTCTTCGAAGGCATATCCCCGTGATCAGAAAAGGCCATCGAGGAGACAGAGCAGGACGCGAAGCAGAAGGCACAGGGATAAGAAAAGGGCTAGCAAGACTCGCTCAAGGAGCGGGAGAAGGCACCGAAGGAGTTCAAGAGGTGAGGCAGCAGGTGAGTCCGCTCGGCGAGATCGAGAGGCACGGCCAGCAGAGCTGAGGGCGAGGCCTTCCGTTCGACCTCCACATACACCTTCGAAGTCACCTCCGGGGAGGCACGAACCTCCTTCCAGGACCCCACCTATTATCAGGCCAGCGGTCAAAAGGTGGGACGGTAAGCCAGCTGCGTGGAAGTTGCAGCCGCAGTACTACGGTGAGAACAAGGGTGCAAAGAAGAGAGAGAGGCACTGGTATAGGGCTCAGGGAGACGAGAGCTGAGGACCAGCATAGGCGATGCCACCCAGGCGTCGGCCGGCAGGAGCATTGGAAGAGGCACCTCCTAGGCGGGGAGGGGCAGTGAGGAGGAGGCCAGCCGCAAGGGAGGCTGGTGAAGCAGAGGCTGAAGGAGAGTTGAGGGGTGAGGTACTACGCCTCGCCTCTACCGGAGTGAAGTTTGAGAGAGGAGAGAAGACGAAATGCGAGGAGGTTCCTTTGGAAGTTTTTCGACGGGGCTTGCCGATATGCCTCGAGGGCGTCTATTGGGGCGCCCGAGCTATGGTGGCAGGTCTGGTCGAGAGCCTTTACATCAGGACACCCAAGGATGTGGAGTTGCACGTGAAAGTTCAAGGCACTACAGAGGAGAACTTGCTCAGATGGGCCACCGGCCATCCCGGCCTGAAGCTCAGGGTTCATCTCTGCGGGGATTCATGCCCCGAGAAGCTCGAAGCGGAGGACCTCATCCATGGGATGACCGTTTCAAAGAGGACAGGCGAGGACGATCCATGGATGGCAAACTTGATCGAGGAGGTCGCAAAGCCGGAGAGCTCAGGAGCAGCCCCCCTCCTGGTCGGGGAGAGGGAAGAAGGAAGGGGCAAAGGGAGCAGTGCAAAGGCAGCTGCAGAAGAGGAGAAGTCCGAGGCGAAAAAGAAGAAAAAGAGGAGCGAAGAGCGAGGCAGGAGTCCCGAGAAGAGCAAGGAGAAGATCGACTTGAAGTCAGGGGCTCGCAAGGAATTGAAGGAGGTGTTTGGAGGGACGGGCCTGGACCCCGACCCCAGGTTCAGGCGTCGCTATGCCGTGAAGGCCCAGAAGAAGACCAAGAAGAGAAAGAGGGACTCCTATTCAACGGGGAGTTCAAGCAGCGGCAAGACAACGACCTCCGAGTCCGTGGAAGTGTTCGAGGAGCAACAGAAAGTCCGCAGGCTCTCCAAGCGGGCACCGGGGGTCCTAGCGGCCCTAGCAATGAGGGAGATGCAGACCAGCTTGCTTACAGCAACAGGCGGCATATGGCAACAAGATCAAACAGCGATACAGCCCTTGGCGGTCCAGTATTTCCGCCAATCGTTGGCTCCTCGTCTTCAAGGCGGACCTGGTCGCGAAGGATTGACCCTTTGCTGGGCCATCGATCTGGCCTTACAAGGAAGGATGGCAGAATGCGTCGACGCTCTGGTGCAACGGCTGAAGTCAGTCGAAATGGTGTCACAGGGCTCCGCTTGGCAAATAGCGCAGCGGCTCGAGGTTTTGCCTCCGGAAAGACCCCTTCTTTCCTCAAGGGGGGGAAGCAAAAGAGGCAATCAGAGAACAAAAAGAAGAACAGAAAACTCGCAACGAAGCATCCAAGGGGAAGAGCAAGTCAGACACCTGGCATTGGCGAGATCCTGGCAGCGAAGGAAAAGGAAAAGAAGCGAGGGGCAAAGGAAAGAAGGGAAAGGACAAAGGAGATCGAGGAGATCAGAAGAAGTGACTGTCCAGGTTTCGCCAAAGCTGGATGCCGGAGGGAGTTCGCCTTCCAACTATGAGGCCCCCTTTGAAGAGCAGGGCACGTTTTTTCCACCAGCCTCGAGGCCGAGCCGTCACGTCGATGGCACAGTGCTTGAGGCACCAGCAGGCGCCGGGCCGGGTAATCTGGCCGATTCGCGCCGTTCAGCGGATGAGACCTCGTTGGTGACCTTGTCTGCAGAAAAAGTTTGCATGCGGCCGCCGGTGGTAGGTGACAGTTTGATTCAGGTTGTTCCCTGGTTGGTGAGCGAGTTGGTTCATCTTTGTCCAAAAGTAGGCTTGGACATGCAATGCAAGGCCCAGCCCAAGGGTGATGTGTTTCCATTGCCCACCAACACGTTGCACCTGGGGAACTGCACGAAAGCTGAGCCGGATGTCATTGGAGTGGTTAGGGGAATGTGCATGGCGCTGAACCTCTTTTATGGGGTGGCGGCTGAGAACGACTTCCACCCTACTTCTCTTCAGGTTGAGGCAGTGAGGCATTTAGCTAGGGAGGCTCAAGTGGCAGTCGATTGGCCAGAGAGATTGGAGCAGACTTCGTGGCAGGACTTTTTTCATTTGAAGACCATTGACTACTGTGGAGACGAGGTCCTTTGCGCACAGTCCACCAGTTGGGCCAATTTGGCGCCAGCTATGCCCTCTGAGATTGCTTCTGTAGACCTGGCTGAGGTGTGCGAGCTGGGGTGCAAGCACTATGTTGAGCACTTCACGGAGTATCTCCTACCCGGGGAGATGCAGAAGGCCATGAAAGGGCCTCGGGTACTGGTGCACGACGATCATTGGCAAGAAGTGTTGCGAAGGCCTGACAAGGAATGGAGTGTGCACTATTCTCTCCAAGTCTCAGGTCCACCACATTGATGGCCAGCCTCTCCTGAACGGCCTTTTTGGCGTCAAGAAGGACGAAGTGGAAGGAGCTACTCCCATCCACCGCCTGATCATGGACCTGAGGCCTTGCAACAACGTCTGCCGAGGACTTGAGGGGGACGTTGCAACGCTCCCTAGTTGGGCGACTATGGGACCACTGCAGCTGATGCCTACAGAGGACCTGGTGGTATCTTCTGAAGATGTGCGCTGCTTTTTTTTATATATTCCGGGTGCCCAGTGAGTGGCACCCTTTCCTGGCCTTCAACAAACCACTACCTCGGAGTATGTGGCCAGGAGACGAGGGACCATACTACATTGCTTCGCAGGTGTTGCCTATGGGGTTCAAGAAACTCCGTCAGCATAGCGCAACATGTTCATAGGAACATTGTGAGGATGGGCTGAGTACGAAGCATGGGGAGTGCCACGTCATCCCAAGAAAGCGGTGTCTCGATCTTTGGTGGCTGAAGTCCAGGGTGCGATCATCGACGGAAGATTGGGGATCGCCTATCCCAAGCCCTCCAAGGTCTACAAGTACACGGCCCTATCAATCCTGTTCCTTCAGGAGTCCATGAGCAGTCAGAAGCAAGCCCAGGTCATTGCAGGGGGCTTGGTATACTTGAGCATGTTCAGGCGTCCTCTCCTAGGAAGCCTGAACCACATATGGAGATTCATCGAGGAGTTCCGTGGGTACCGATTAAGCTCCCCATTCCGGATGGAGTCAAAGTTGAGGTGGCCAGGTTCCTATGCCTAGTTCCCTTGGCGAAGTTGGACTTCCGGTTGAACATCTCCGCAGAGGTCACAGCCAGCGACGCTTCGACGACGGGTGGAGGCTTGACAGTCAGCACGGGCTTGACTGGGTTCGGAGTAGCGGCATCGGAGACGAGCACGAGGGGCGACCTGGCAGAACCTCATGATCTTCATGGAGTACTGACCATTGGCCTTTTTGATGGTATAGGAGCCCTTCGGGTAGCAGCAGATGCTTGTGGGCTAGCCGTGGTAGGACACATCAGCGTCGAGGTGAACAAGGCAGCCAGCCGAGTGCTTGAGAGCAAGTTCCCAGCCACGGTGTTCGTTGCAGAAGGAGTGGAAGCAGTCACCGAGGAGGAGGTGCAGCGTTGGGCCTGCCAATTCTCTCAGACGTCGCTGGTCCTCATTGGAGCTGGCCCTCCATGTCAAGGAGTGAGTGGACTCAACGTTGACCGCCGGGGAGCGTTGCGAGACCATCGCAGCTCCTTATTTACTCATGTGGCACGCATTCGGAAGATGGTCAAGCAGAAGTTCACGTGGGCTCAGGTGCGGTACCTTGCCGAGAATGTGGCCAGCATGGATTCCCATGATTGGGAGGTCATGACAAAGTCCTTTGGTGACCTCCCCATACAGATTGACGCCAGTGGTGTTTCCTTAGCACGCCGTCCAAGGCTGTATTGGTGCGACTGGGAGCTTAGGTCGGGCGAGGGTGTGTCAATGGGCCCCCTTGAGGGCGCAGGTGATTTGAGGTTCCGGAAGATTGAGCTCCTGGCACGGGTGAGGGTCCAAGATTACTTGCAACCAGGCTGCAACAAGGCTTCAGATGAACCCTTTCCTACATTCACAACCTCAAGGCCAAGGAGCTATGCAGGTCGGAGGCCAGCAGGCCTTGACAAGTTGAGCGCTCAGGAAAAGTCATGGTGGGAGGCTGACTCCTACCGCTTCCCGCCGTACCAATACCAGGAGAAGTTGATGGTCACTGACGCCGCGAAGCAACCGAGACTTCCCGACATTCAGGAAAGGGAGGTCATCATGGGGTTCCCTAAAGACTTTACAGTACAGTGCATGGCAAAGCAGTGGCAAGGTTCACTTGAACATTTGGATGAGAGAAGGACTTTGATCGGCAATTCATGGAATGTGACCGTAGTCACGTGGTTGATGGCGCAACTTGGGGGGCCAATTAGGTCTTTGTCCCTTTCTCTCGCCTCAACAAGCAGTCGAGCGAACAGCTCCTGGATCCTCGAGCGAACTTGCAGGACTGCTTTACCGCCCTCCTATGCAGCCGGGGAGGAAGAAGAGCTCACCAAACGGGGAGCAGAGGTTGGTGAAGAAGCTCCTCAACCTGGTCAGCCTCAAAGGAGAGGACATCATGTTGCAAGCGCCGTCGGAGGACACTCTACGCTACCACAGGCTGAGAGCTAGCCTTCCTGCAAAACTGTGGAAGTGGCGGACTGTTATGGGCTGGCGCTGGTCTGGCTCGCCGGAGCACATCAATGTCCTCGAGCTCAGAGCAGTGCTTACAAGTATCCGATGGCGAATTCTCAAACGACGTGCTTTCAGGACGAAGATGGTGCATATGATCGACAGTCTCGTGTGCTTGCATTCTTTGGCTCGGGGCCGGAGCAGCAGCCGGAAGATGAGGAGGACCCTGAGCCGAAATTGACGCTTTACTCCTAGCTTCGGGGAGTCATGGAGTATGGGCGTATGTCCATACTTCGCAAAACCCAGCTGACCGCCCATCGAGGCGGCCTGTAAAAAAGAAATGGTGAAGAAGTCCAGGTCGCACCTGGAAGATAGGAGTAAAGCAGATAGGCAAGCACAAAGACGACGATTAGGACCACTTCGAACTTTGACCGTTCAAAGCAAAACGAGAGCACGTTATGACAAAGCCATGGAGCGCTACCGCAACTTCTTGCGAGAAGAAAATCGTCCATATCCTCGAGACGCTGCAGGCCAAGACTATGTCCTTTCGCACTACATCGAACATCTTTGGGAGACAGGAGAGGGGAGAGCACTCGCCTGTGATTCCGTTGCAGCGGTACAAGACTTCCACCCGTTTCTTCGTGGACATTTGCCTAGTGCATGGCGTCTTCTGAAGACATGGTCCGCAAATGAACTATACCCAATCGTGCACCCCCGCTGCCATTGGAGGCCCTCCATGTTCTAGCTGGATTTGCCTTGTTTAGCGACCAACCACTGTTCGCACTGTCCTTGCTTCTTGGGTTTCATGGGCTCCTACGCACCGGGGAGCTACTGGGGGTACAAAAGGCGCATGTGGTGCAGTCAGGTCCTCGGAGTCCAGCCGTGATCTCACTCGGGTTCACGAAAGGAGGTAAAAGGGCAGGAGCCGCAGAAAGTGTCACAATTAGAGAAGAAGACACTTTGCGAAGACTTTGGCAATGGTTGAGTTCACCGCACACCCCAACAGCACTTTGTGGAACCCCTCATTCCTGGAGGAAAACCTTCAATGAGTGCCTTTTAGCCTGTCAACTTGATAGTTATGACTTTAGGCCTTACAGCCTCAGACGGGGCGGGGCCACTATGTATTTTGGCCGACACGGCTCGTTGGACCGGCTCCTCATTCAGGGGAGGTGGGCCTCCAGCAAAACGGCCCGAATTTACATAAACGAAGGTTTAGCTGTGCTCGCTGAGCTTAAGCTTACCTTTAATGGCACTGCACAAGCCTACCGAAGACAATTTCAGAAGTCTCTCCGTGTTCCGCTTCAAACTCTTGAGCTTCACCCCAAGGGTGGGCCAGGGGGACGTGGAAGGAAGCAGAGACCAAAGCGCAAAGCGCGCAAATGAGTTTTTCTTTTGG